TTTCTTGGAACCGGACAGGACTTGTTCGGGGTAGGTGGGATTGGGTGCTAGGACCCCCCCACCTGTGTATGAGGCCCGGGGCCATCTGGGGCACGGATATTGCTGGGCTGTCGGAGGGGTTTTGCTCGTGAGGCTTCAGGCAGGCAGCTGAAGCGCTCTGTGAGACTGGTTTATGGCCTGTTTGGAGAGGTCTCCAGTCAAGGGGGCTGTAAGGAGCACCAGATTTGAGCAATTTGCCCTGAGCGGACGCCCTCAGCTGTGCCCAGACACGGCCCGGTCTGTCACACCCCCACCCCGTGTGGGACAGGTGCTGAGCCGCCCAGGGAGAAGATCTCAGAGCTGGAGCATATTTCCTGATTTGCCTGTCTGCACCGGGTAGGGGTCCAAATACCCTCCCGGCCCCGTTCTCACCTGTCTCCAGCAGGGCCCAGAGGAGGCAGCAGAGGAGAAGCGTCTTCATGGTGCCGGGGCGGGAGCTGGAGCCGGTCTGGGGTCTGAGCCAGGGGGCTCTGGTGCCGCAAACTGTCTGTCGGGGGCTGGCCGTTCTCGACGGAGGCCGGGCAGGGTCGCAATGAGAGTCACCGGCCCTGAGCTGGGGGCAGGAAGGTTTGTAGCTCAAGTCCTCGGAATATCAGCACAGAGAACTGAAGGGCCAGCCCCTGCCCCCACCCCAAAGTGTGACTGGGCTTTGGGCACCAGGGTGACGGCTGCTGCCTGCGGTGGGCTGGTCGGGGCGGTGCCGGGTTTGCTGCAGTTGCCTTGCTCGGCAGGGTGAAGGACACACCCCGGGGGGCAGGGACTATGGGGCAGGTTGAGGGGATCCCAGCGGGAGCTCCAATTTCCCTCTCTGGGCTCCCTGTTGCAAACACGGCTCCGTCTACACCCACGATGGGCGCCACCCCCTAAAACTGTCAGACCCCTTGGTCCTCGCTGGTCGGAGGCCCCCGAGATATCTGTGGGACCCTGAATGCCCTAGGAGGGCAGGCGCTTTGTGGTCTGGTTAGTGCTGGGGAGGTCCGTGCTGGACACACATGCGCCCTCGCACCATTTTAACACTTTAAAATGAACCGGTGGTTCCTCCTTCCCCAGCGCATGAGCACGGGGGCGGGGGGGGGGGGGTCCGCGGCTCCGTCCCCTTGGCAGTT